TAATTCATTGGCACCTCAATTCTTTGTTATATAGGTAAAATGAACTTGCAAAATATATTCTACATAGCTATTGTAGTTAATGAAGCTAACAAACCACAAATTACTATATTTCCGCTAAGGAGGTATTTACTTTTAAATTGCAGATCATAAACCATATTTAAAGATAAATTTCATTAAAGTCAAAGAAAAGTAAAGCCTCCTCTAAGCTGAGATCAGTTCATGATGACTTTCATGGAAGTATCTGTCCAGTTTCCTTGGCAATGTTATGGAAATTACCTTCTTACAGAATCTTTTTTTCAGTTTCCCAATTAAGTTCACAAATATGGAATTCCTAAGTGGTTCCCCTGTGAATTTTAACCAAGGCCAGTCTGGTTTAGCTGTCTAAACCATTCAAGACTGTCCATATGCTGCTCCCTTCTGGGGGAGTCAATAAAGCCATTTCAAATATGTTTCCAACTGGGCTATTTACACTTTAATTCAAATTGCTTTACTAGTGTAATGAAACTGGAATACTGGGAGTTCGAGTCCCACCTTAGGCAAAAGGCCAGCTGTAAGATATCAGGTCAATCATTCTATCTCAGATCTAGGAAAGCAATTGCAAACCACTGCTGAAAATCTTCCAAGAAAGTTGCAATGACTAGTCGAGGCAGTTGCCAGGAGTTCATGTTGACTTGAAGTCAGAAAAACACAAGAAAATCTTAAATAATCCTGAAACTAAACTGGATGTGTTGGAGGATCCACTAAGAATGTACATTAATGAACAAGAGTCTATATAAATGTATAAGAGTCTTGAAGGCAGGTAGATACTCACTCTTTTGATTGCTCTAACTTTTTTGCTGCCTCTTTTTTAATTTTTTCTTTTTCCAGGTATTCTTCAAGTTCTTTTCCTTCAAGTTTTACACGTTTCCTGAGCTAAAGAAAAAGTATACATTAGTAACTCTTATATTCACCTACCTTACATGTTCAGATTTTACAATGAATCCTTAAGTAATGATGGTGGTACGCAACAGCAATATTCAATAGTACATATTGGATAAGAGTTCAATCTGCAATAAAATATGCAATGAGCTCTAAAATTATTTTGGTATTATTTTCCTTTGCGCAAAACAGACTACTTAACAACAATGGAAAATTCTTCAAGAAACTCAGGAATTTTTATAAATATGTGTGACTATTTTTCTACATTTTAAATCTCAAGCAAATACACCTATTATATAGCCACAGTTAGCATGGAATGCTTCTGCCTCTTCACAGCGAACTAATCAACAATTCTATCATTTTTGTTTTCTTCAAAGTGTGAGCATAATTTATATAATTCACCAAAAAACCCTGCACAAAAGTCTGCATTGCATATGCACTGTCCCAATGTGCATATTTTTTTAAATTAATTTTTCACTAACAAAATTCAAAATACTGTAATGTATGCATGGATTTAGGGGTGGCTATCTTGCAGTACTTTTATTGCTTTGCTTTGCTCTGCTTTGAGTTGAGGCAAACCATTGCACAAGTTCATTGTATTGCTATTCTTACACTAGGTTAAATATGCAATACTTTTATTAAAAAGTACTGCATTTACTTACCTCTATGTCTATAACTTTTTCAGAAGCATTATCTATTAAAAACCGTGCTAGTGTTCCAGGAGTTGTTCTGTATGTCAAAATAATAGAGTTTTTGGGATCCTGACACCATTGTATGAAGAGATCTCTTGAAAATCCGCAGTCCAGATCTGGCTGGCTAGCAAGAACAACTTTGGGACTAGGAACACGAGCCAAATCTGCAAGTCCATGACAAAGAGACAGATGACGAAACTGGAAAGGATTGTTTCTCTTATCTTCAAAGCACCTCATTAGCTTGTCACTCATCCATTCCACCTGTATATTGAGAGAGAAGTACAGGTCAGTTGCCTTTTTAAAATACTAAATGACAACAAATTTCCACCAACATTTTAGACAGTGATTTGGAAGGACAATTGGGTTGTTTTGCAAAGCATGCTTTGTATGGCCCATACCTTATAATATCCAATATCTTATTAGATGTTATGTTACTTGATACATAAGTCTAAAATACCTGCTTTTCAACAGGAGTTTTATTATAAATAACCTCAGAAAACAAACCTGAGATTTTGAGAACTCCACAACGTTGTAGCTGACATTGTTTAAAAGTGCCAAGGAATAAACTCCTAAACCAGCATCTTTTGTCCTCCATATCTGATCAAGCAGCTGGGCAAGTTCCAAAACTCTCCCTGCAGTGTCCACAGCTATTAGGACATTTCCATCACCCCTCAATGTTTCCAAAATATTTGCTAAAGATAAAAAGACGAGTTACAATATTGAAACCCTTATATATACAGAACTTTCTTGTTAATAATCAGAGGAAAAACCAAACGGAATCCACACATGATAAGTGGCAATTTGATGCCTTAACATAAATGACCCAGCTACAAAACCTTTTAAAATATTTTTCTTTAAAATCATGCAGCAGACAGTATCTAATTAAAAATCACTAACCATACAACACATGTCAACTAAATGATAACTGAGGTTATCATTTTGTACTTTACATCAAGATAAATTACTAAAATGACCTAACTCTTTTTATGGTTCTGGAGAAAGAATCTTAAGAATATTTCTTTTATAGATTTCCAAAGCTTTAAGACAGAAGGTTACATGATTCCATACTTAATATTAAGTTGTCAAAGAAAAGACCTTAGCATATTTAAATTTTTATTTTAATGCCAAGAAAATAATGGATTTTCATAGCTAAAGTAATGTTCATGTCAGGAGAGGCACCTTTTCAAGTAAAATCATCCCAAAAAAACAAAAATATATTCTGAGTATTCCTCAGAAACATAATATTTCCATGAAATTAATTTATGAAATAAAATCAGTCATGTATCACTTAAAATATGCCCTTTCAAATTAAAACTGAAATTATTCCAATTTTCTAGGTCATTACTGATCTTATCCAAAGATCATCCTGTACATTTATAAACATTACATAAATGAGAGGATGAAATCCTTGTTAAGAACAAAAACCATTCCATCCTGAATTCCATACTAAATTGTTATTTGATTTGTGTCACAAAATACATACTTAGCAGTTGCTCATCTCTTTGTTTCCGCCTTGGCTGTACGTAAGTAGCATTGAACGAATCAGTGATGAGCAAAGAAGGTCTACTTAACATTTCCAAGGAACATCCATTTAAATGACTGAAAAAGAAGTTGTATCAATTTCAGTGTATAATTACACAAATATGACAATTAAAACTTGCTGAAAATAAATGATTCTCTAATTTTCAAAAATGTCAGTTTTTACTAGAACACAATATAATTGCAATCATGAATTTAAATGTGTTTATAAATGTAAATACATTTATATACAAATGTACATGGTCTTATAAAAATTACAGATATAAGAAAGTCAAATTTATCTGCTGCAATTTAAAAATAAATAGTGGAAGGAAATGAAAATAAACAGGTAAGATGGATTGGTGCAAGGAAATACAGTTACTAAAAAGTCACTAGAAGGCTATGCTTCTTCTCATATTAGTTTGGTTGGTGTATTATTTACCATATCCTGTGCTGCAAGTGAAAACTCATGCTATTCTATATGCTGCAAATATCTGAGCTCATGGGTAGTTCCTTAACAATAAGAATATAGTGTAAAAAACAAAGCAAAGAAGAAGCCTAAAGAAAAACCAATTTATTTGAAAACAATGTTTTAAAGTTCACTCTTTAAAAATGAACAAATGTTATACACAGATTTCAAAACATGTCATAATTAAGAATGATTTAAATTTAGCATTTTCTTCCATGTCAGATTTCAAATTAGTTTCACTTTTATAACATTTGTGAATTCTCAAAATAAAGGTATAATGACATCCTAATGAAATGAATATAAAACAATGCATTAGCTTATAAATAAAATCTGATCTACCACTGTTGACATTAGGCAGTTCCGTAGGTAAAATATAGAATCTACTTCTATAATTAAAGCAGAGATAACACTTCCATAATTAAAACATGGATGACACTGTAACACATTTCTAAATTTATTGTTTTAAAAAAATTTAAAATTAAACATTAGGAAACTTATTTTCCCTCTCCCAATTAGATACCATGTTTTAAAAGGAGAGTTAAAGAAACCATCTTTAATTACTTAGTAGAGCTGTGCAGTACTTCTGTTTCAGAAGGAAAAACCACATATAAGAAACTTGATAAACCACGTTTCTTTTCATGGAATCATACTGCACATAAGGGTCAACAAAAAAGGCCAAGAAAAGACTTAGGTGACTTATGAATTTGTTGACAGGTCATCCAGGAGAATCCTCAAGTGAAGGATCTTTTTTCCTTTAGGTCAGAATTTATTTTGAAGCTGACAACTGAACAATTGCATTGCAGAATGTAGGATATCTTCGATTGAGGAACATTATGCATTTCTTAATGCATTTTAAACATCGTCTAGTAATTTTTAAAAAATTACCCCACATTTCCTTACCCTCAAATTTAATTTCTGCATGTGCAAATCCTGGCACATATACAGGATTCTTAAGATTATGAAGTATGGAAGAATAAGTAAACAAGGTTCCTCTGTAGTACTGATTTTAACTCATTGATTTTTCCACTTGCAACTAAGACAAACCAGGTGTGCAAGTTCCAAAAGTATCAGAGGTGCAAACTAACATGGGAAGTTCTCCCTAAGCAATGCCAACTACTTTCACACTACTGCCAAGACAATTTTATTTGCATGTTCACTAAACCAGCAGAAATGATTTTAAAAGACTCCTTTCACTCACAAAACCATCCAGTACCGAGTGTCTTTAGACATCAGAAATGTTAAGAAGCTGTAGTAGGAAAGTAGCAACATCTGTGTACATACATCTCCCTCTTGTGGTTGAAATCAACTGCATAAACAATTTCCTCTTCTCCATCTTTAACTATTTTCCATATCGTACCTCCTATCATGTGGCCTGCTGGTAATGGAGTGATAGACAAACCATGCCCTTTACCTAAAGAAAAAACAATTTTATTCACACCCCAATTACATAAAAGATAATTCAACACCACCACATAACGTGGCTTCAAGTCTTCCTACTAATACAACATATTGAAGTATTTTTTCTATTATTATTTTTTTGCTAATGTAATGTATAACAGACTACTTCTAAAGAAAAATGGGAAGGAAAACCTTTCATACAAGTATTATGAAAATAATGAACAGGCTCATGGAACAATCTGTCTCTAGATATTAAGACAAAAAATAAAGTTCTCCAATAAAATGTTGCCCTATGGGGTACTTCTGATCAAGATTCTAGCAATTCTTCATTCCCTACTCCTGTATGTTTTCTCTTACCCATTACTGATTCATCCCACTGACCAATGATTCTAAGACCTCACACAGCCTTATATCAAGAGTTGTTATAGTTACTTCCTCTCCCATCTTGTTATTACTTGATCTTCCATGCATTCATGCAACATTATGCTTTTGGACTCCACCTCTTATGGCCTTTTCCCTTGATATTTTTTTTATATATAGATAAACATTTCAAGATTTTAGCATTTTTAGAATAAAGTAGTGACTAGGGCTATGTAGCCACAAATCAATACCACAACGTCTGGGATCAGAGACACAGAAATGATAAATTAAAATAATAATAGAATGTTATGTACTTCAGTTAGCTTGACATCATGCAATTGTATAACTATTTGCTAAGTTTAAAACTGGAAGATTTAGATTTTAGGAAAAAAAAACAGAAATTCCAAACAACAGGACATAACAATGACTTTAAGAGTATTTTTTTTTCACCTTTCAAATTGACAATCTGAGAAAATTTTAGTTGTTGTATTTTATCAAAAGCTGCATCCACATCATCCAAAGTAAACAAGGTGAAGTCTTCAGTATTATGGCGTGACTAGTCAAAAGAAAAGGAAAATATTCTCAGTTAAAATTAGCCACATTGGGGAAAAGTTTAAAATCATACCTCTCCAAAAACTGAGACATGAGCTTTACCTGATAGAGATCATACATGAACATCTGACCCATTTTGTATACAGGAATAGTTGCATAAATAGCACAGTTCAACCCCATCTTTCCTACTGCATATGGGAGAGCACCCAAGTGCAGAGGATCAGGATGTGAAAGAAGTACTGCATCAACCTGGTGAACATATCTAAAACACAAGAACAAGGGGATAAAACACTCCATTCCACTATTTAAAAAAACACCTATTTTAATGGCAGTATAGTGTACATCATTTGAGAACCGATACTTTTAATCTAAAATAAAATTTGGGTCTAGAGTTCTATTTTGAAGGAGAAATTTCAAATGAAAAAAGTTCTTCTCGGAAAATGCTCCCTTTCAATAGATAGGAAAATGCTCATTTAAATAGAAAGATGTTATCTTGATAGTCTCTAATATCTTGCTCTCCCAATATGCTTTAAAGAGCAGTATATCAAAACAAAAGGGAATATTAAAAAAATTGCAGTAGCTATCTATAACAGGACATTCAACTGGACTAAAAGCATTCATGAATTGAAGAAATCGGCCATAATAGAAAAACACTTAGAAATCAAGCTTTTGCTTCTATGTTTCACTTAAAAGGACTACTGCAAAAAAACAACAACAACCTTTTAGTAGTAGTTCTAGTGGTGAAATTGAATTTGGAGAACAATGTTCAAAACACTATCTTTTAATAAATTTTGTTGATTCTGTCATCCAAGGCTAAATGATGCAAAAAAAAATGCAAAATCTACATGTACTACATTATTACAGTGTACATTCAAGAAACCAAAGTTAATGAAAATCTTACTCTGTAAATCTACTCTTATCAAATACAATTCTGCATGCAAAATCTCCACATTGGGAACTCTTATCAAATGGTATTGTTTCTGCATTTGAGAAGTACAATAAACTGTTCCATCATCACCACACTTTTCTTGCATTTGTAAGAAAATAAATGTAATTCCAACCTAAAAAGTAGCACAGACTATTCTTTGTAGTTTGATTCTGCAATTGTCCCTGTCTTCATGAACATTTTAAATATGTTAAGTAAAGCAATTCAAAGGTCAATATAAAGTAGAACTGTTCTACCTATACCTAGCAAGTCTATTTTCATATATAGTAAGAAAAAAATTGATACAAATAATTTTGTACCATAACTTTAATAATTTAAACAAAAGTGTTTTATGTTATATAAATATGCTATAACAAAAAAAAGCATTGCAGTACATTTTTCAAGGGTTCAGCACTTTGAGTCAGATTCTACTTACTTCCTCAGAGAATCAATGATGTCCATAGAAAAATTTTCATCCCAGCCACAATCCAACAAAAAGCGAAACTCATCTACCTGAAGTAAGTAGCAGAGAGCAGATTCTTCCTGAACCCCTGAGAGGGTTGTTAGCTTGATAATTGATGTCATTTTTCATTCCCCAAATGTTCTCACCAAAAATAGTTACTATAAGGAATAAATTGTTTTAAAATCCTTTTTGTTAGTTTTCATATACAGCTGTGAAAATGTACATATACTTAATATTATATTATTTCAGCATGTTTCATAGATATGGTCAACACAAGCAAACTGAAAATTTCCCCAAATCAATGAATCAATCCATGATAATCAAGACTTCAATGTGATTGGTTTAAATTGTGAGGTTAGAGATAAAATCAAATGCTTTCTTTCTTAGAACTGTATCACTTTTCCTCAACATGATAAACAGGGTTACCAGAAGGGCAGGGCGCATGCGCGCACTCACATCAGAAAAAAAGAATTCAGCACTTACTGACAGGTATTACAATAACCTGGTTGTAACTTTAAAGTATGATTCAACATAAGAACAAGGCTCAGATTTATCAGTGTCTGCTGTCCTCCATTTTGATATAGCCTGATAACTAGAAATTTTCAGTGTTTCAACATAACCTGACCTCAGGGTTATCAAACTTGCATCACGTGACGCCACCGTGCTATATTGTGACTTTTCCCCCTTTGCTAAAGCGGGTGTGGGTGTGGCCAGCGCTTGAGGCATCCAGGCTGCAACTTTGACAATCCTGCCCTACCTATTACTATTTGTGTTCCTCTACTTTTATATCATTTTGTTAAACATTTTTACTTAATTCTGACATTTATGGTAGTTATCTACATTTTTA